GTTGAATGCCTATTTCTGGCAGGAAGTAGCTTGAACCAAGGTATTAAGAGAGTAAAATCAAGAAATACATACAAAGTAGAGAAAGTAATTTAGTATAAAATAGCACAAAGGGGAGAGCAAGATGTTTGAGACTGGATCACAGAAAGGCCAGAGTGCCATCAGTGAAGACACTTTTTGCAAAGTAACAAATGGTGATGCCTAATTTATCTACAGAATTAAAAAATTCCACGTATCAAATGTTTTTAAAAGTGCTTATCACTGTGTCAAATCAATGTTGGCAAAACACATGACTTCTGCCCCTGAGGACTCACACGGCATATGAGCACACTGAAGGCCTTCAAGTTCTGCAGCAACAAAAACTTGTGAACTGTGTAGCTCAGCCTTCCCCAAAGACCAGGGAACCCTTTAAAAAGTGATACCCACTAACCCACAAAAACAGTTTCAAACCCTGGAATAGTTGGATGAGGCTCCACTTCCTGATTGGACGACATCCCTCTCTTAGTTAACACCTATCTCATAAACAGAAAAAATTCAGCCACTGTTTCCTCAACTGGAATGCTTAGAGTCAAACTGATGTGCACTGAATAAGGATAACAGACAATCTAATTGAGAAAATAATTTTGTAAAAAAACAGTGAATCAACTGAAAATGATACTGCCAATCATCCACTTAACATATATTAGTAAGTCTGGTGCACCTGAGGGAAAACTGTTTAATTTCTTCATGCTTGTAAGCATTTAGGTACACAATTTTGAAATTTAGGGAATATCTTACTTTTTTTGTGCATTTGATTTTTTTTTAAATCAGGGAATTAATGGTGACTATCTCTGGTTCATAGGGTTGCTATGAATCAGAATCGACTCGATGGCAATGGGTTTGGTTTTTTTTTTTTAATCTCTGGGTAGGTAGAATTATGGGTGTTATTATTTATTTGTTTATTGGGTTATTTCTTTTTTCTGTCCCTTCCACCCAAAATCAGAAAACACTTCTCTGTAATTAAAAAACAAAAACAAAGAAAGAAATTCAATCTGTAAAAACTACAGAAAATTTGTAGGTTATATTCCTTATTTCTTCGTCTAAGCATTTATAAAAATTCAGTTTTAGATCAATACATTTAATAAATCTTTATTAGGCATTTACTGTGTGCCAAGTCCTGTAGAAATACAATGAAGAGCAAGAAGGATAGGGTTTCTGCCCTCCAGAGAATAGGTTATGCCTGCTGTTTATTTGGCAATATCATTATATATTTTAAACTTTCCAAATTAATAAAAAAAGAATATTTTCAATGCCAAGCTCCCATCTCAAAGCTTTTGCATTTGTAGTCTTTTTCACCTAAATTTTTGTACAGTTCTACCACTTTATTTGGTACTTTGCTAAAGTACCTGCCTTGATCACCTTTATCTAAAACTGCCACATCCGTGTCCAAGTCACTCTTTATCTTCTTACTCTTTTCATTTTTCCTAGGAGCATTTAATCCACTTGCTGAGAAAATTATTTATATTCTTATTGTCCATCCCATCTATTATGTGGAACATTCACTGAAGACAAGGACTTTGTTTTGAATTCATTTGTGGTAAAAGTTGATCTAGACTGACACGAGGCTACTTAAAGTATTAACTGATCACACTTCTCAGCTGCAGAAAGATTAATGCACGCTATTATGGGGTGCTGCCCCACAGCTTTTTGAGGATATTACACAATACGTGGAATATGTGCTCTACTACCTTTCAAAAAGGCAAAAAAAAAAAAAATCTTAATTCTGAAACACATCTGACCCCAAGAGTTTTGGTAAGGTGTTGTAGACCTGCATTTCTATGTTTGACTGTACTGTAATTTAGTTAGTTCACCTCTACTATCAGGCACTTTGATATTTCCAACTATTTTCTAATATTAACCATTCAGAAAAGGCATAACTGGCTGAAAATAAGTTGAGAATAAAGTAAACAAGTAGAAAGAAAAAATGTACAAAAGTGCTTCGAGATGTTTCACAGACTGCAAAAGAGCGCCATGACATGACTAACAATGTTTATTCTTGATTGAATAGTCATCTTGACAGAATTATTTTCCACAAAAGGAAATTCTATTAAGAATATATATATATATATAAAACCAGTTGAATACAACTCATGGTGACCCCATGTGTGTCAGAGTAGAACTGTGCTCCATAGGGTTTTCAATGGCTAATTTTTCAGAAGTTGATCACAAGTCTTTTCTTCTGAGACACCTCTGCATGGACTCAAACCAATAACCTTTCAGTTAGCAGTCAAGTGTGTCGGTCATTTGCCAGTGGCATCACTAAGGGGGTGCGAACCGCACCGGTGACATTGTCAGAGGGGGTGACACCTAAATGACTGTGTATAAAATTTTGTGCAATATTTCAGCAGAAATTTATTATTTTTTATAAAAATATCCCTATAGTTGTAACAACAAAAATTTTTTGTAAGCCCAGCTTACATGTATCAATACACCTACAAGGCTAAAATCTGTGCTAATTTCCTTTTTGAACCTTCAAATGAGCTCTGGTCAGAGCTGTCGTTATTACCCAATTACAATGATGCTTCGAATCACGTGGTTTTGTCTGCACATCCTAAAAGCATATGCTGTTGTTTTCATTGTAGTGGGTGTTTTTATAGTCACTGATTTTGTCAAATTTTCTGGTTTTTAGCTACAATATTGTGGTAATTAGTATTTTTGAACCTATATCAATAACTTTTTTTTAGAGTAAAGTAGTAATTAAAGGAAAAGAAGGATGGCATATGGGAATTACGATTTAAGCATAACATTAGTACAAAAATCATTACTAAGGATTCTGTATGGTCTGGTACAGGAAGAGGTCCATGGGAAGGGATACCATGTGTTACCGCACTCGGTAATACCAACCCTAGTGATGCCAATGTCATTTGTACCACTCAGGGACTCCATTAAGAATACAGAAATCCATTTATTCAACATTTATACAATACGTATTTAGTAAATATTTACAAAGTGCTAGGTACTATTCTAGGTGTTGATGATACAGCAATGAATAAAACATTTAGAAAATCTCTCCCTTTACGGAGCTCACATTTCAGGTGCTTACTGGCCAACCCCTAGATGCTAACTTTGTTCTAGGTTCCATACCACTTTCTTATACTTGTTTTTCTTTCCCTTATTCTTAGTGTATTTTATTTTCTACTTAATGTATTCTTTCCTTGTAAACAATCTGAAAACATTTCTAGAGCTAAGTGATAGAAATAAATGAAAAAGTAAATAAATAGGAAGATAAATATATGTACTATATTCCTTGTATCTACAAAATTTTTAATTTTGTATAATGAAGTGTTATAGAACTTTGTCACCTGTTTTGAAGTGGATAGATGCTAACAGTTATTATGTTAATATGGAATCTACTTCTATATTATTTTCTGCTCACACACCAACAGCAAAAAAGATTTTCTATAGCACCTCAAATTATGGTTTTTAAAGAAGTATTATTTAAAGAAATAAAGAAGAGAAATGTCATGATTGCTAAGTTCCTGTCTCTCATGAATTCCTGGTTTACTCTTGAGTGGGGAGTTCCAATTACTTACCAGATGAAGGGAAATGTTACAATATCCTATTATTAAAATTAATTGAAGAAGTGCATTTCTGCATTTCCCATTTTTCCTAATGGAAGAGAAGGCTAGAAACATTTCTGAAGAGTGAATAAAGGCGAACAGGAATAAAATACTTTAATATTTTAAAAACTAGTTTAAGAAAGATAAATTCTTCAGATTATCTCTTAGAAAAAATAGTTAATTTCATTCACAGAACAAAGTTTTTACTGACCCTTGAGAGGAATTTGGTAGTATACATTTTTTTTAAAAAATGAAGCTAATTCAAAGAGAAGAAAAATAGAAGCAAGAAACAGTCATATCAAAAATTTAAAAACTTTTTATAGCTGATTTTTCTGAAATGACCTCATCAGACTGGTCAAAGTGAGAAGAAAGGGAGGTGGCTGTTACTTCCTCTTACACAGTCAATGGCTAAGTCACAAGCACCTAAATCGCTGGAGAGAAGAAAGCAGGCCCAGAATGGTCATCTTCAGCAAACCTCTTTAGGGATCGTGCACTGAAGAGACAAGGGGTGGGAAGAGGGAATAGCGGTGATGATGCACATCAACAGTGTTCTCTAGTTCTCCTTTTCAGCATATGTAAAGCAACTGGTGTCAATAAAGATTGTATTCTTTTAATGTACTGAAGGAACAAACTATGCAACCATGCCCTTAGATGGCTGGTTCTGGATGAAGTTATATAAGAGCACTTTGAGGAAAGCACTTCTACTTGGCTTTCCTTTTCCTTCCTTTCAGACAGTCCTAATCTGGCATAACAGTCTTCTCCAGGGATTGGTGTATCTCATGTTACATGTTCAAAAAAGGAAAGAGATAATGAAGAAGGTAAGAAATGGGGCTAATGAAGAAAAAGAAAGAAAACAGTTTTTTTTTAGCCACAGTTAATGTAAAGCTATCTTACAGGTGTTTCCTCACACCTAAGTCACAGAAATGCAGTTGTAATTATTTCTATACTGCCATTACAGCAGTAAATTCCTCAACCTGCTTAAGGTAATTCAATTTTTTATACGGAAACTATTTCCTATGTATGGGAGACTAAGTATTTCCAGGACAAGATTTCTTGCTCAATGAAACAGCTATCTAGTATCTAATCTTTAAAAAACCTGACAGCAGTGGTCTGAACAAACTGCTGCTCCTATGATGAAAGTTAAAATGTTCCAGGACAGAATAAGTGCTATGAATGCAAGTTATGAATAACAGCTAATGACAAATGCAGGTTGTAACTAAAAAATAATGAAACAAGTGTTTACCAATAACGTGCATTTGATTAAAATGTATTCTCTTAAATGTAGCTAAGCATCAACCATATAAAACATGTCCAAGAAATGCAAGTCTGTGCTGTATACCTGTCACTTGAAAGTTACTCTCATCAGCTGACTCAGGCATTTATTGATATCGATGAAATACTTACCTGTAAGCATATTGCCAGGTTCACTCTACAGCCGAACGAGGTGCTGACAGCCCGTGGGTGGAGGCCCAGGTCTTTAAACAATTTGGAAAAGGATTGTGTGAGTGCTATCCGAGGCCGTTCTTCTGCCACAACTACGCATGTCCGTACACGAGACAAGTCCAGCCCTCTTGCCTGGAAATAGAGAGATGATAAGACAACCTTCCACGTAACTTGGGAGCTCCTTAATTTAGAATCCCACACAAACAACAGAAAATTCAACACAGCTATTTGTTTCCAGGGTTCCATATGCCCATGTCATTAATTAAACTGCTCCAGGATAGCTATGTAAAAAATAAATTTACCCAAATATTCAAATTATCAAGGACATCATTAAATACATATTTTAAATGATAGTAAGAGGCAACAGCAAGAATCTAGATGAGGAAATAGGTTGAGGGAAACTGACTTCCTGAAAAAAATAATGCAAGGACAGAGTTTGGGAAAGAGGAAAAGAAGCATTTGTTTGTATTCCTACAAGCATGTATACACAAGAACACACATTGGAGAGAAGTGAAAAAAACTTATTTTTAAAAAACTATAGGAGTAGCAAAGTAAAATTTTTGGACAACTTCGTAAAGGCAGCTCTCCATTTAATATCCTACGAGACTTAAAAGGTCACAGATATATTCTCATGATTGAGCATATCTCAGTTTCTATAGTAAGCACACGATTAGGCACGTCTCAATTTCTGGACCATATTAAGTCACCTGAGCCAAACAGCAAAAATCAGAGAAGAAGGAACTGAAATGAGTTAGGCACAACACTCCCGATGATAAAAGCTGGGACTTCCTGGGTCTTGCTCAGGGAAAACAAAGTTAGTGATAAGCATCTCATTTAAACCTGAAAGTTGGCAATGAGCCATGACACCTTCTGAAATGGCAAAGACAATTATGAGGAGTATAATTACCCAAACAGAAAACCATCCAGCTCTTTACACATCCTTCAAGGTGGTACCAGCACACAGATAACTGACAAGGTTCCCGAATGGAGGAGGAAACACAATCCAAGATAGCTTTGACACTAGTGTTTTTGTATATAAATACAATTTTACATAGCTAGGAATAACTTCAACTATATATTTACATGTATATGTTTCAAGAGGCAATAGTGCATGGGGTTTGAGAGAGCCAGAGATTCAAAATTCGGTTCCAAAATTTACAAAATGTGAGAACTTGGGCAAATTGCCTAATATTTCTGTAACTTGGTTTCTTCATCTTTAAAATGGAAACAATAATGGTTCCTATTTCAAAGAGTAGTTATAAAGACTGAATGAATTCATACTTAAAGTGCTTAATCACTTAATTATGTTATTATTATTACATTTTTTTATTATATATGCACATAGAGGGAAATATGTTTATCAGAATGTCCTAGTTTAAATGGAGGGAAATACTATTATTCTCATATAATGGTAATTACTTCAAAAAAAATTCTTCATTTTACAATGAATTCTGGTTAGACTCCAGGCCTAAAAATCAGAGTCTTCAAGGGAAAAGAAAAAAAAGAAAGAGTGGATAAATCCATACCTATCTACTTAAGCACCAATGTCAGAATAAAGTTAACTTCATTAAAGAACCTAATTCACCAAACAAATAAAAAAGAAAATTAGGATCTTTCAAGTAGATTTAGTAGAATTAGAGACATCAATAAAATATTTTACACTCAGACCTGTTAATTCTATTTTGTGCAGAGGGAAAACACTCAGGTTATAGAACAACTTCTTCATATGAAAACAATCTTGTCAGCTTCAGATGACAGTAGATTATACTTTTGCTTTTGTGAAGCATTATTTTAACTTCACTAAATCTTTTTTCTGTGCCCCTCCAATAACATATTTTCATAGAACCTCTGTACCCTGTGTACTGATAGTCTCTAATAATGTTAGAGTTAACAAATGTTTTTCTCTGGACACTCTAGGAGGTTGGGTAAGCAGAGCTCCTTACCTTGAGTGATTCTGTTTGTGAGCCCAGCCCCTTGGTACAAAGCTCCATTACGGAATAGGAGCAAAATGTATCCCGGACTTTATACTGACTCACAGCGAGAAGCCACAAACCAGGGTTGGTTTCCAACTCTGAAGGTGGGATTAAAATGGACTGGTGTCCCGAGTATACACTGTGGAGACAGAAGGGTGCTGTCAGAGGAGAGGAGAGCAAGCTCTAAAGGCAGCTCAGCCTCAAATGAAGACGCATCATGATGCAACACTCAGGGAATGTGGGGCAAAACGTACCTCTAAGAAATGGGAAAACTTTGAACAAGCCACAATTTTTCATTTCCTAAAATGGGGATGGTAAAACCAATTACACTCATAAGTATTTATAAATGTAAAATGAAATAATGCTTATTAAACATTCTGAAAAGCACAAAAGTACTATGAGAATTATAATACGTTTGAGTATTGAGCATTTATTTAAAACATCTAAAAGTTGTGACGCTGCTAGGTTTCTCTCAAAGCTGCCATGAGGACAAACTGGAATTCTCTTTCAGAGTAGCAAACACAGGAATTGAATTCTGGTAAAAATGTCCGGAAGTTTAGAATTCTGCAACTTTCTAAAATTTGCAAATTCCAAAAATTTTAGAATCTAGAAGTCTGCAAACTACAGATGCTGCCTTTTTGTAAATAAATGTTATTGGAACACAGCCCCTGCCCATTTGTTTAAATACTGTATATGGGGTTACCTAAGGAGCCCTGGTGGTGCAGTGGTTAAGCGCTTGGCTACTAACAGAAAGGTCGGTGGTTTGAACCCACCAGCTTCTCTGCAGGAGAAAGATGTGGCAATCTGCTTCTGTAAAGATTTATCGCCTTGGAAACCCTATGGGGCAGTTCTACATTGTCCTCTAGAGTCACTATGAGTGAGAATTGACTCCATGGCAACAGGTTTTTTGTTTTTTTTTTTTTTTTAATGGGGTTGCATGGCTTGACAGCAACAGTGTTTTTTTTTTTTTAATGGCTGCTTTCATATGACAAGGAGCCCTGGTGGTACAGTGCTATGGCTGCTAATCAAAAGGTCAGCAGTTGGAATCCACCAGCCACTCCTTGGAAACCCTGTGGGGCAGTTCTACTCTGTCCTACAGGGTTGCTATCAGTCAGAATTGACTTGACAGTAATGGGTTTTTTTTTTTTTTGGTTTTTCATATTACAAAGGAATAGTTCAGTAGTTGTAATAGAGACTATATGGATCACAAAACCTAAAATGGTCATTTAAGAAAAAGTGTGTCTACCCTTAGTTTAGAAAACTGACATGCAGGGGAAAAGAAAGAAAATTATGACAATTAACGGACATCAGTCGTTCAATAATTTAAGTTTGGAATTTTACTTTAAAATGATCCAAACAAATCACCAAATAGAAGAACTAAGGAGAATCAAATCATTCTTTAATTTTACTTTCCTTTACATTAGAGAGAATATATATAGAAATGAGAAAAAATGATGAAAGATTATGTATTTTAATTCATCATCAATTGATGGGCCAAGTGTGAATTTAAAACAATGAAGTATTTGCCAAAACTACATTTTTAATGGTTTTATTAATTTTTTTCTAGTTTACTACTATAGATCCATATTAATAGATGTCATACATTATAATGAAATATCCTAAGTAAATCACCTTCTAAGGTTTAGGTAAAGGAGATTTTCTAGCTAGACAAAAAAAAAAATCACAGAAAAATAGCACATTTGGCCTTATTAATTGCTATATTATGATACTAATACCAACTCTTTCATGTGGTCAATCTCATTTTTAAATTTAAAAATTGAATACAGGAGAAACCCACTAGTTAAAAAAAATTTTTTTTTTTTTTAAATTACATTGACTCACAAAATCTACTTTAAACTGGACCTTAGAATAGAAAACATGACAAAGGGCCTTTGGACCAGTTTCCATTTCTTTTTTTATTTCTCTATGCCAAAGTTTAATTATCTTTATGAAAAGGAAATATAGCAGACATTGGCCTTTTCCATGGCTTTTTCAAAGGGTTTAATCATTTGAGAACTGGGAGATTAGGTGTATGATGGGGATGGGAGGACTGATTAAGTCCTCAAGTTATTTTTGCACAGTTGACTTTTATTGCATTCCTGATTGAAGAATCCTGAGGCCTGTCTCTTGAAAACTAAAATTCAAAAAGTGTAAAAGTCACCCAGTGGTGTGTAATTCACCATTAGCGCTGTATACACACACACACACACACACACACACACACACGCACGCACACGTGGACGCACACACAGATTGTTATAATATTGTAATGCTGCACTGGTTTTTCTTTCGCTTTGCCATTTAAAGTTAACATATGAGCCAAGAATGTTCATTATTCTGATCTTCTTTTAGGTAACATCAGAATAAATAAAACAAAGCATGGCCACTTTATTTCAACAATTCTAGGCCAGTCAGTACTTACGCACAGGCTGTATTAAATCCATTAAAGTATCTCAGAGCACACTCCAATGTTGTTCCTGTTATTTTAATGTAACAAAAGTCCCATTTAAACCAATTTTTCCGTTTAAAGGATAGTGCTTCTTCGAGAAGGGAATAGACATGGAGTTGAGAGTTACGGGTTTTTAGAAAAAAAAACAAAACAAAACAACCAACCAACCACTGATTCCATTAGCTCCGGGAAGCCATAGCCGAGTGTCCATTTCAAGGAAATCATCAGGCTTTGCACACCTTTCTTTTATCTCCTTGATGTCCTGGCTGAGCAAAGTGAACACTACAAGCAAGAACTTTAAAAGGAAGGTTCTTAAACTATCACATACAAATAATCGGCACACGTTTTGAACGCACTGAGAGTAGTAAAACAGCTAAAAACTATTTAAAGAAACGTTCCTCTTCAAAAAATAACTAATTAAGTCCCTGTGGCACCAAAGATGTGCACTCCTCAAAGGCCCTTCAAGAAAGAACTTGCCACTTAGCTGCAAGAAGTGCCATCAGCTCAGGCCTCCACATGATAACGCCTTCTGTCTCTGCCTCAGTGTTTGAGTTGAAGCCAGGCTCTTTCTGGTGGCCTCCAGCCCAGGACTGAGCACAGCAGGGGAGCTAGGGCCTGACCATTTCTGCCCAAAACAGGACTCCTCCAGCTGGGCCCTCTTCACTCTGAACTTCCCATTGGGTTGGTTGAGACTACGTCAGATATACACTGGGTTTTGTGTCCTGCACAATCCCACCTCCCTACCATTTTCTCTTTCACAAGTGCCCCACCCCCCAATGTCTTGCACTCCTCACTCCATTGCCTCAGGTGTTTCCCAGAAGACGCTTTCTTCTCTTTAAGATGAAAAACATTGCTTTTCCAGGGATCATTTGGAACCATTTTTAAAGAAAGAATATATTTTTAGACTAATAAAAAGGACTTATTACTAGAAGTGTTCTAACCTGGGTTATAAAGATAGATTTCATCAAAACATAATCAAAAATGCGTCTATAATATTAAATGAAGAAAGTAGGATATAGAACCACATATAAACTATGATTACAACTAGGTAAGAAAAGCAAATGCATTGGAAGAAATACTACAAAACACTAATAGTGGTTGGGTGAGGATAGTAAGGGGTTAACGGATTTTCTTCCTATCTAATTTCATGGTTTTTAAACGACATTCTTATTCACTTCTATAATATAGCACACACACAGCTCCTATCCTTGAAAACATCCAATCATACATTTCTTAACAAGATTAAAAAACGCCTAAAGTTAGTGATTCATTTAGGTCCTCCTAGCTATGTGTGTGTGTATGTTTGTGTGTGTGTGTGTGTGTGTGTGTGTGTGTGTGTGTGTGTGTGTGATCAATCAACAGTAGACTGACAGACGAGTCTGTGGGGAATAAAATGTTCAGTTAATCTAAGAGGGATATTTGATATTTAAGTAGGGAGTAATTTTATACATGGTGAGTTTCTTAGTGAGGTATAATTTGCATGCCATAAAATTCACCTCACTTTAGCATAAAACTAAATGATTTTTAGTAAATTTGTGAGGTTGTACAACTATCACCAAAACTCAGTTCTAAGAACATTTCCATCACCCCAAGGAGATCCCTTGTGTCCACTGTAATCAATCCCATTTCCAACCCTAGCCCCATCTATTTCTGTATCTACAGATTTGTCTCTTCTGGACATATCACATAAATGGCATCATATAATGCAATCATATACTATATGGTGTTTTTAGTCTGGCTTCTTTCACTTAGCATTAATGTTTCTGAAGTTCATCCACGTTGTAGCAGTATTCCATTGGATAGATATGACACGTTTTGTTTATCCATTCAACAGTTGTTGACCATCTGGACTGTTTCCACTTTTCCGAGAAAGGCTGAGTAAGGCTGAACATTTACATCGAGTCTTTTTATGGACATGTTTTCTTGTGTATATGCCTAGGAGTAGCATTTCTGGGTAATATGGTAAATTTATATATAATATTTAAGAATATGCCAAACTGTCGCTTCACCATTTTATATTCCCATCAGCAATTATGAGAATCCAGTTTTTCACAGCCTGGCTAACATTTGTTACTGTCCTTTTGGTTACAGCTATTCTAGTGCATGTAAAGTGGTATCTTACTCCGGCTTCAATCTGCCATTTTCCTAATGAATGCTGAGCTTTCTTATGTGCTTACTGGCCATTTGCATATCTTCTTTAGTGAAATGTCTATTCAAATCTGTTGCCATTTTGTAATTGTGTTGTTTGTCTTCATATTATTGAGTTTTAAGAGTTCTTTATAAATTCTGGATATAAGTTCTTAACAGACAGAAGTTTTTTATTTTTTTAAATCAGATACACGAATTGAAAATATTTTCTTTTGTTGTCTTGTCACTTTCTTTTTCTAAAATTTTATTCTGTTGTTGAGAATATACACAGCAAAACATACACTAATTCAGCAGTTTTTACATGTACAATTCAGTGACAATGATTACATTCCTTGAGTTGTACAACCATTCTCATCCTCCTTTTCTGAGTTGTTTCTCCTCATTAACATAAACTCATTGCCCTCTATGTTTCCTATCTAATCTTTCAAGTTGCTATTGTCAATTTTCCCATATGACAGATCTTGAAGGAGCAAATTCTTGAGTTAGTTAAGCTAAACTACTGCTTGGTATTAAGAAGACTTCAGGGGATATTTCTGGTTTAA